TAGATCCTTATAGCTCCTAATATAAGCATTTTTTTAAAGCGCTCCACTGAGAAACAAGAATGAGGCTTAAGCTCTCAAGTATAAATTCGAATTACTATTTATTTTATTTCATTATATATATATATATATATCATATAACACTGATACATTATATAATATATTATAAAACAAAGATAAAGGGCGAGACCGAACAGCAACGACAAAAAGAGAAGATGAAAGGCGAACCCTAGACTCCTGCGAAGCAACGAAGTCGAACATGAACGACGGAATCGAAGGAGTGAGAGCGTAAGTTCTTTTTTTTTTGTTCAGTATCCTTCATTTTTATCGATTGAATCGTTGAATAGAAGTTACATGAGCGAAGCCTCGTGTCTTCTGGCAATCAACCGCTCAAGTGGGGTCGACGACATGTAAGTTGCTTCATACTTGTTTTAATTTCAAAAAAAAAATTATAATCAACATATAGGCTTTTGCAAACTCACAACTCTCATTCAAGGTTTGGTCTAAATGCGCTCTTATTGAAGGTTTGATCCGAATTTTCAACTTTTAGAATTGTGATAGTCGGATACCTCCTATACTGTCCTTAAGGCTTACCTCGTCAGAACTTTTGCTTTTACTTGTGCAGGTCTATCTCCCATAATATAATTTTTTCTTATTTTCCTTTTTCATTAACATTCAGATGTTCATAACCAATAGCTTTAGTGTCATTTTGTAGTATCACATTCAGTAAGTAATGTTTATCAAATAACTTAATTTAACAGTTAACTAACCAATAAACAAACAACCTGTTTATTATAAAATTCTTGGCTACCACAATTCTTATAAATATATCCAAATGCTCTCATTCTTATACTAAAGATTGGGTAAGCACCTCGTTATGAGTTTGTTCCCCTACAATATCCCGGCCTCTTTTCCTCTTATAAACAACCTAAAGCATACATTTTTAACTTTCAAAAATGCATTCCAATAGAATAAAACAGGCTATAATACCAAAAGACTAAAGTTTTACCTCAAATAAATTTGACATTCAATTCAACCTCCCTTCCTCGCTTAACCTTTTTCCTCTATTTTCTTTCCTTCCTTTTTTTCCTTTATTAACTTACTATTTTCTAAACTTTTCCTCTCCTAGCAGTCGCAGCCCTTCCGCCTCCTGCTTCACTGCTTGCTTACGGCTGCTTCAGATCCAAAGAGAATTGGGTGGGGAAAATGGCATGGGAAGGAAAAGCTTAAAAGGCTAAGGCTTAATTCACTTAATTATATAATAATATAATATCTCTAATGCTTTTCCCACTGCTGTCTTCCCAATATACTCTCAACCGTTGATTGCACTAAGGCTGTGGCATGCAAAGGTAAGTGGAAAAGGCATATTTAAAAAAGATTCTGCTACAGAACGACATTCAATTAAATGTTCATCAACCATGCTTGTTACAGTAAACTTAATTAGCATTTAATTAATTGTTAATTAATTATTAAACGACTATTAAATGAATGCATATACATATATACTATTAAACTGATATTTTAGATATATTTCTATATATCAAATGGATCAAAATTAAAAATAGAATTTAATGAAAATAGGCTTGATGTTTTAGGGAGGTGACAAAAAGGGGTAAATTTTGAGCCAAAAATTATGCATATATTTTTAAAAATTTTGGGTATTATAATGTGTAGATTTTGAATATGCATAATTTTTATTAATCCTTCACTTCTTTCTTCAGTTGAAATTTGTTTGATGCCACCCTTTATATGGGAAAACTTAGAAACGAAGAAAGGGCCCTAGCTTAGTAAAGATGCTGTACTTGTTTGCTGTTGTTTGAGTTGAGTCTTATTTATAAAGTTTGAGTCAGTCAGACTGTTGTAAAGGGGTTGGTTCTTAGTACAAGCATTCCTCACTTCTGTGCATTTTTTATTGCATTTAATTAATTAATTAATTAACTGATTAAAGCCTTAATTCGTTGTATTTTTAAATACTCAGTAGTTTAATTTTATTAATTAAATTAATTATATATTAATTAAGTAATTGAAAATACTCTCCTCCAAGTCTTCAAAAGTTTTCCTTTATTTTTTAAAAAATCTGACTTCCCGACGTCCCCTCCCCGCAAGGGGAGGAAGGGACGACACTTGCCGTTGATTCTTCCAGGCTGAATTTAAGATCGACAGCTCGAGGGCTTTAATTTGATTTCTTCCCGGTCGCATCTAAGATCGACAGCGCGAGGGCTACAATTTTTAACAATCCTAGTTGAATCTAAGATCGACAGCACAGGTCATCGATTTCATTATTCCTGTCTATTGATTATTTAAATTGAGATTGTCGATTGGAGTTAGTTAATGTGTGAAGATGCTTCAAATTGCTGCCTTGGAGTAAAGCAAACAAACATTAGGCACTTAAGTGCACGGGCAGTGGAGGCATAAACATTAATACTTACTCATATAGGGACAGGCTTGCTTGGTTTTGAGTGGGGATCAGCACTTAGAGAGTTGGAGAGGGGTTCGGACGGAAGTCTTGAGAACAGGGGAAGTGCGTGTGTGATCACGAGGGGATGACGTCTATGTGCTCCTTGGTCGTGAGTCGGACAGCACAGACGGCAAGCGAGGTTGCTCGAAGCGTGCATTCGGTCAGATCGATGAGAGCGGGCATACGAGACCTGCCTATAGGTAGTCAATAAGAGATGAAGGAATAATTGCAAAACTTAAAAAAAAAAATGATTGGACAATTTCTTTAAAGTTTGTTTAATTCTTGATTTATGATTGAATTGTGACTCATTGAGACAAATCAACCAGTTAAGATGATGGACATGAAAGCTGTAAAGGATCATGCAATAAATCGACCATTCAAAATTAATGCAATTCAAATGAGAGATGTGGGAGATATGTCCATAGTAACCAAAAAAAGGCTGTGTTAGCTTGCTTTATGAGCAATTCACGTCTCATGAGGTTGAAATCAAATAATGTGGTGATCATGAAAGATGCAAGGATTAAATTACAAATCTACTAGACTTAAGTTTAAGAAATTCTGATAAAAGATGATGGACATATGCTTAAATCTCCTTTGGGTTCCTTGCAATTTTGATGGATACTAGATGCCTTTGATATAAAAATAACATATCATCCTGCAGTAACTTCCAGGGGAGTCAATGAGGAACCTCAATCCAAGATTGAGTCAAGTCAACCAATACAAATAGTAACTCTCAAATCTATGGCTCATGCATTAAGGTCACATATATGAGTTTTCTTCTAATCTTCGCTAATGAAGGAGCTAGTGATTATTCATCTTACAATAAGTTTATGACCTTAAGATTCATCAAAGTCTAATTGCTTGTCTCTAACATGGACCACTACTTGCCACATCTTCAAATGAACTATCACCCATACTATCTTCGTGTTGAACATACTCAAAGGCCAAAGCATGACAAGGGAATTAAGATGCAAGGTGGCCTATTTCATTATATTTAAAATAGCCTATTCAGCTACCAGATTTGATATGCAAATAGAAGTTGCGATGGTCTTAGAGAAAGTTTACTCATTAGTGAAATATGAATCTCTACTTGCATACATTGATCTATACCGCTGGTTGACTTCTTAAACAACTATATTCAATAGAGCATACATCTTCACTTCGTAGAATTTATAATTTGATTAGTACATACATTTCCACACTTCCAGGAAAGTTAAATATTTGTTTTATGGTATATCTTTTTCAGTAAAATAACAAGTTGATGCAGTTTCACTCAACTAGTCTCTAATCTTTCTTAGTTGTGTTGCTCATACATGTACTTTTTTTGTGGTATTGGTTATCCTGCACTATATTTTCATATTACGATTAGACCCCAAAAAAAAAGTATTCACTGGAATATGTTATCAAGTGGATTCGCTCATGGTACTTTTTGCAGCTTTGTGACATACGAAACTAACATGGTTGTACTTTTTGTATGTTATTTGATTTGAAGTACTACCTAATGTTTATGTACAGGTTAGGAGTGTAAAATCAATTAAAAATGAATCAGTTTGATTATAACCTGCAGATTTTTCATGGGAGGTAATTCTACATGTTCTGACGGCGTGAATGTAATCACCTAGAAAAACCAAGAAAAAAGATAATAGGAATGAAGAAAGATCATCCATCTGAGTTATATGAATACATCATTTTTTTTTCTATAATGGTAATGGTTTTCTTTTCCTCACATACATTTAATCAATCTGTTTAATCTAATTGAGCTACAACAAGTTTATTTATAATCACACATTTTTTTACTACATCACTATCAATTAAATTTATTTTACAAATCATACTACCCTTTTGAGAATGTTCTTCAAATACAGCACTTCCCGTGGCATTGACCAGAGAAATTTCTAATTTAAAATGTAATAAAACTCGACAGGAACATGATCATCTATTCAAAATAACAAAAATGTTAGCTCACGCATGGGAAAAGTAAACAGATATAATGGGAATTTTAAGATACAAAGCGGGCACCAAAAAGTCAAGCAAATTATATGCCCATTTTAACCTTTTTTTTTAGTCACTGATTACGACATGGAAACCATTTGTTACTTAAAGCAGAGATAGACCACGTGAATTTTATTCATTTTTCATAATCAAGCGCTTGATCACCTCGGGAAAGAGACATGGTTAGTGGCCGATTGGAGACAAAACTTGGAACCAAAAGCATAATTATAAATGCCGAGATATTTGAATTTAACAGGTAAGAAATTTTTAATTAGACCATACGCTTCATTTATCATGTGAAGCAACTAAAAAATATCATCAGGTTCAAATAAATGACAACTTGATATCAAGAAAGAAAAAAGCAAACCAGCAAATTCCTTCAATACTTGAAAAACGATGGTTTATCACAAGACAATAGATCATTTTAAAAGATAAAGTTGACTATAGTGATGATATATCCATATAATAACTTCATTAAAATAAGAAGTCAGAAAGTGGATTTTGCCAATTTAGAGGATACAGTTTTCACATTTAGATAGTAAATAAAATTTACCTATTGCATTTCCCAGCTCTAGAAATTGTTCGTTTAGTCGATCTCTTCTCAATTTTTCACGGTCAGCTTTATGTACTTTTCGAACATTTGATGAATCCTTTGCTTCTTTATCTACCCTTTGACTGCAAATGTTGAAAAGTAATTCTTCACCAAATTGGCGTTGGGGTATAAACTCACATTATATGCAAGTGCATATGTTCAAACCTCCAAACAAGAAGATGAGCAAAAGCATAGGAACCATTTATCTCAACCAAAAACCATCCTCATTAACTTAAGTATGATACATGGGAAAGGAAAGAAAGCCTCGATTGAATTTAAGTACAGATTAGACAATTGGCAAATAGCCATGCCATATGCAGGCAACACAGAAAGTTAACAGGAAACTAAATCACACATAATAATGTTGTAGAAACCTGCTTCCATAAGTAGTAACTGGCTCCCTGCTTACATTGCATGCCAAATGCGCATCTTCTGTCATGGCAAGATCTTCTTCCACACAAAATTTTGCCTCTCATTTCAAATAATCAGTATAATATTAAAGTTAACAGGAAACTAAATCACACATGATAATGTTTTAGAAATCTGCTGCTATAAGTAGTAACTGGCTCCCTGTTTACATTGCATGCCAAATGCGCATCATTTTTCATGGCAAGATCTTCCTCCACACAATTTTGGCTCTCATTTCTAATATTCAGTAAAATATTTGAGACAAATATCATCAAACATACGAACAGTAATTCAAGGACGGGTACTTCAATGAGCATTCTAGTTTTTATTAAAAATTAGCAAGTGGACAAAAGCAATGAAAGAAATATAATGATTAAAGTATTTTAAATACAGAGAATTGGAGAGGAAAAATACTTCATTTTATTGCTAAAAAATGCCCCTATATATATATATATATATATATATATATATATATATATATATAAGAAACAAGTAATTGCATAATCATACATAATTGCTATAATATAATCCTTCCTAAATCAGCCACCTAAATATGGAAGAAAATCGGGGCAATGTAGTTTAGCCTCCCACGGATACCCATCCTAGCCGCCTCAGGGGTTTAATACCGCCGCCCACTTTTGTGCCCAAAGGGCAATCCACTGTAATTTTGTTTGGGATTTTGTGGATAGGGATAGGGATACTATTCCTCAGGAATTTTTTGATATCCTGCAGGAGGATATGATCTTACATGTACAATCTTAGGGCCGTTTTCATTGGCCACTTTTTGTTTTCCCTTTTAATTTAATGCATAATGCAAAATTTCAAGGATACCCATCCTAGCCGTGGGATCAAAATGCCAAGGGACGGCGGAGATCGGAGCAATCTAGGTTAGCCTCCCATAGATCCCCATCCTAGCCGTGGGATCAAAATGCCAAGGAACAACTATGATTTAACACTCCCCCTCAAACTGGGGAATACAGATATATCATTCTCAACTTGGTAATCAGTCCTAGAAATGTGGAGTTATCAAGTCCCTCGGAAAGAATACCGGCAAGCTGATATTCTGATGAGACATGATAGATACATATAAAATCACTGTCTAGTTTCTCCTTTATGAAATATATATCCACTTTTATGTGCTTGGCTTGTCATGCTGAACCGAATTGTGAGCTATGTTGATTATTAATTTGTTATAATGTGCTTCATGGGCCCTTCCCACGTAATCCTTAGGTCTTCTAGAACCATCTTAATCCATAGTAGCTCACATATTCCCAATTATATAACCTTATTCTGCTTCTGCACTAGACCTTGCCACCACATTTTGTTTCTTTCTTTTTCATGTAACAAGGTTTCCTCCAAAGAATGTGTGATATCCCAAGTTAGATCGTCTATCTACTAGTGATCTTATGTAATCTGCATCAGTATATGCTTCTGGTGTTATTCCATAATCTCTTCTGAAGAGAATCTATTTACTGGGGTTCTCCTTAAGGTAGAGTAGTATTCTGTCTACAGCTTGCATGTGAATCTACAATAAATTTTGCATGAGCTGGCTAACCATACTTACTGTAAACGTTATAACTGATCTGGTGTGGAAAAGGTAAATCAATTTTCCCATAATTCTCTGGTAATCTGCTTTGGTAATCTGCTTTATCTGTATTTAGATCTTTTTTAACTTCACCCAATTTGAGATTTGGTTCTCCTGGTGTTGGTGTTGGTTTATAAGCTAGCTTACATATTTCTTTAAAAAGATCATTAATATATTTTTATTGTGAAATGAAGATTCCTCAGCTGTAGTAGGTCACTTCAATTCCAATAAAATATTTTAACCTATCAAGATCTTTGATCTCAAATTTATTGGTAAGACATTTCCTCATAATCACTTTCTCCTTTTCATCATTCCCAGTCAAGATGATATCATCCACATAAACTAATAAAATTGTGACTTCCACTGAGTCTGAGTGCTTGAAAAATAATGTATGGTCCCCTTGGCTCTACTAATAACCATTAAGCAGCACGACTTTTGAGAACCATTCAAACCAAGCTCTAGAGGATTGCTTTTAATCTACAAATTTTGTCATCCCCATATTTCTTTTTGAATCCTGGTGAAATCTCCATAAATATTTCTTCCTCCAAGTCCCCGTGTAGGAATACATTTTTGGCATCCAGTTGTTCCAGATGCCAGTTGTAATTAGCTGCTAGTTAGAACAGAATCCTCATGGTGTTCATCTTAGCCCAAAAGTCTTCTAGTAGTCAATGTCGTACGTCTGAGTGTACCCTTTCACCACCAGTCTTGTCTTATACCTTTTCAATGTACCATCAGCTTTGAATTTCATAGAGAACACTCATTTACATCTGAATCAATTTTTTCCTACAGGTAGGTCGGTGATCTCCTAGGTATTATTCTTCTTCATGGCCTGCATTCATCTTTCATGACACCTTTTCCAATTTTCATCAGATAAGGTCTCTGAAATATCATTAGAAATATGAATATCATTTAATGTAAGAAAAAAAACTTTTGTGTGAAAGTGAGAAGTCATAAGGATACAAAGTTGGTTAAGGGGTACAAAGGAGATTTTTTGGTGAACTTCTGTTTACCTCAATTACAGGAAATGTTTCAGATTATTGGATCAACTCTGAAGCATAGTTTGAATTTGTACGCCTGGAATACACTTGCCCAAATCTCCTGTTATACATAATAGCTTTGTCATTAGCTTTCCTAACTTTCATTTTAGATTTGGGTGGATTGGTTTGAGGTGGAGCTAGAAGGTCAAGAGGGACAAGCTAACTTTCCTCATCTTCCTCAGTTTCAATCTCCCACTGAAGATGAGGTTTGGTGAAATTGAGTTTTTATTCACCAAAGGTAATGTCAACAGATATAAGAGTTTTCTTGATAATGGATGATAATACTAATAACCTTTTTGGTAAATGAATATCCAACAAAGATAAATTTGAGTGCTCATATGTCTAATTTTTCTCTATATTGGGTGTGAATATGAACATAGGCAATGCACCTAAAGATTATGAGTGTAAGCTTATTATAAGTTCAGAATTCAAGGTAAAAAGATGATAGAATATTCATTGGTGTTTTTAGTTCCAAGGTGTTTGAAGATAGTTGTTTTATGAGATATTTGGCAGTTAGATGGGCTCCCCCCTCCCCCCCCCCCCCCCCCCCAATAGGAATTGGGTACATTGTGGTGGAATAGAAATGCACGGGTGGAGGTTAGAAGGTGAATTTTTCCTTTCTACAATCCCGTTTTGTTGTTCTGTGTGAATGCAAGAAGACTCATTTGAAAATAGAAGGATAGAGTTCGGTTAAAGTAATCTTTAGCATTGTCAGAACGAATTTTTCTTATTTTTACCCAAAATTGATTCTGGAACATGATATGAAAAATGAGGAGGACAGTGCTAGCATCGAATTTGTTTTTTCGGAGAAAGATTTAAGAAACTCTAGTGCATTCATCAATAAAGGATACAAACCATCGGGCAATTGAGATATTAGAGATTTTTTAGGGTCCCCAAATATCACTATGAATAAGATAAAATGGAATATTACATCTCTCATGTTTGCTTGGAAAAAAAACTCATTTATGATTGGCTAACTTTCCTTTTCAAGTAGGTTTTCATAAATTGAGACCACTTTAAGTAATTCTTCCCATTTAAGTGATAGGAATGTTGCATAGTTTAGAGATCTCTTCTTAGGTGCAACATAGTCCTCCATAGAGTTTTGGGAGGAATTAGCTTCAGACATTTTGGTGGCAAAGGATAGAGATGGAGGTTATATTAATCCAATCAGCAAGGTGCAAAGTAGCAATGAAGATCTAATATAATCCTTCATAAATCAACCACCTAAATATAAAAGGAGATCGGCGCAATCCAGATGAGCCTTCTGCGGTTCCTCATCCTAGCTGTAGGATCAAAATGCCAAGAGATGACGGAGATCAACGCAACCTAAGAGAACCTCCCATCGATCCTCATCCTAACCGAGGGATCAATATGCCAAGGGATAGCTGGAATTTAACAAAGTAATGGAGAGCAAAGGACAGTAGCAACAAAGAAATGACAGATAAAAACTATGAAAAAAAACCCTAAAAAATATATAAACTCTATTTAAATGTCAGGGAGTTCCTTACGCTACAAACACAGGAAATTATTCACCAATTTAGAGGGTCCTTCGATCAAAGCAATGTTTTAAAAGGTGAAATCGGGAATCGAGGCATTTTGGCTAAGCGAAGCAAGGCGTAAGCCTCGAGGCGGATCGAGGCGTAAGCCTCAAAAATTATAAAAATAAAGCAATTTAAAATTATGAATAATGATAAAAATGTCAAAAAATAACAAAATATTATGTCATTTGTGAATTTGATGATTTGTTCTAAGATAACATTAGTATATTACTGAAAAATAAGATTTAAAATAAACTCAATTAAAAATAAAACATCCCTTTAGGATCAAGACCTAATGCAAGCTTATCATCACTTTGATTTTCTTCAGAAGAATCTTCATAATTAATGTCAAAGTCATCCTCAAACTCTTCTTCATCTATAATATTTTTTCCTTTATCCCCTATATCAGTTAATATTTCATTAGCTCTAGAATGAAACAATAATAGCATAAAAAAATAATTCATTATATTTAAGAATATCTTTGAATTTTTTTTAAGCTCCAATCTCACTTTGTT